CCTTTAACTGACTTCGGGCTTCACAGAGAGGAGGAGGAACGTCAGAGTGAGGAAAGTGAAAGGGGGGGGGGAACAGGAGAGTGATTCAAATATGTAAAAGAGACAGTCAGACACGAAAACAGAGAAAAGGTAAGATCAGTACTGTGGAAGTGGTAGAATATGACATACAGTGGGGTGATGGTAGTTTAAAGTCAAAAGTCAACTGTTGGTTAATAGACTTTTTTGCCGTATGAGAATACGTTGCCCAGGGTGCACCACGTGGAGGTGTCTATTGCACACCCCCTAGCCGAAATAGAAATTGGATTGGAAATCCAAATGTTAAGCGTTTAAGAATATCTTGGATGAAAGAATTTGAAAATGCCGTGTTTTCCTTCTTCAGTAAAGCTATCTCTTAAAGTGAGATGGAAAAGTGACTAATATCGAAATATATATATATATATTTAATGTTTCAATACTCATTTCTGAATGTAAAAGTGTTTGGGTGGCCAATCACACATTACTTTTGTTCAATATTGGGACGGTAGAATGCGTCTGTTTACCTAATGCTAACCCGAAGTTTTCACCTGAGAGGGAGAGAGAGAGAGAGGTAGGTTACATGCAGAATGACATGAAGTAGGGGGAATACTAGCTGAAATCGGTAAACACCAATCCCATTTAAGAACATCGTTTCCATCACTCATCCTGGGTTAGGGGCGGTATAATTAAGCTTCCTTTCCAGTTCTGCTAGTGGCTATATTAGTCAAATTTAAGCATGAGTGTTGCCCATTCCACTCGTTACTTGGGTACTGATAGGCATTGAACCCGTTATCTTTGACCGCATTCGAGCACGTTAACCCCACTGGTGGTTAAACGTAGGTAAGGCACATTGATCGAACAGTGAATTTACTGAAACAACCAATTTAACGTTAAAACCAATTCATCAAAATAACTTAGAGGGAGCGATTGGCTTTGTCGACAATGTCTGCTAGCTTTTTCTTCGATCAAAAAGTTTACAACTTTTATACGGGACTGAAAAGTGGCTTTTATTTTCAAAATTGTGTTTACATTAAAACAGTTGGCTGATTATGTGAACAATGTGTGTTAAGTGAATTGTTGGCGCCTATATATTTGATGATGTTTTGTAATTACGCGGAAAGTGGCGTCTTCGAGTACAATTTTTGATACTTACAATACGCGTACAAATGTACCTAAATGGTACGCTTTATATATCGCCTTCCTATTATCATTGTCATCCTCGTCAAAGTAAGAAAAATGCGATTTTTTTTATCAGGAGGGAAGTTTACTAAGAAGGTGGGATAGAGGCGATTCAAACAATGTCGCAAGAAGTTTGGGGTATGCTAAGAGTAAATGCCTCGTACAACATCTGGATTCTGAAATTATTAGTTTGCCAGAGCTTTAATTAACTTTCATGTTTCTTTAACTTATTCTTTTTCATCAGCACATTGATACTCTCAGTAGCAAGTTTTCAAATGGCCACTCAGTCACCCTCTTTTCACAGAGAACTTGTAAGAGCAGGAGTCTTTCAGTTTGTGGAATGCATGCTATTCCTACGACGGTCTACTCGCCAGTTTTCTCGTCTCGTATGGGTTTGCTAAGAATCGATGACACTTTTCGTCAATGCAAACGATTTTCCTTTTTCTAACGAGCTCAGTTTTGGGTGGTGTTCTAATTATCGCCTTTAGGTTTCCTTCTAAGCTTCTGTTTCCAAACTTCACTCTTATTCACACCCAACACTTGTTTCACATCGAAAATGATCTATCCAGGTCGCATCCTTGCAGGAGAAGCTGTAACTTATTCCATTTCAGCAATTGCGAATTCACTGAAGGTCTAAAGATTGCATCACAGTTGTTTAGTACACACTGGCTCAAGACAACTTTTTCTGCTAGCAAATTCGTCAACCTCTTTTCGTCTGCTGTCAGAGGGGGGGGGGTTGAGGGGCATCATCATCCGATTAGCCGGGTTCTGATCAGCATTTAATCTGCTATCATACCACTCCTGTTACAGATGATTGCGGGTAGGCCAGAAGCAAAAATAGTCCCCCACGAGTGTTGGAATTAGGCTTAATTCTTCGAACTTAAAGTCAGGAATCATCTATGAAAAAGCGACACCACAGATTAATATGGGTCCTATATCCGAACTTGTTGATGGGAAATCCAGGAACTACTTCTATTTTTGATATTTCAGTAGTTTTCTTTTCTCTTTATTGATATTAGTAGTCAGACAATTTATGCTTAATTAATATGTGTGTTCCGACTATGCTATGACGACCTAACGCCCCCGGTGGCCCAAGTTTAGACGCTTGTCTTTTAAATCTCATCAGGGGATTTGAGTTCAGGGTTCACTTTTTGGAATTTCCTATTGGACTCTCACATTCATATTGCTTAGAGCTGATTGGATGGAAATTTCGTTTAATTGGTCGGTTTCTTCCTTCTAAATTTTGGTTCATCAGATAGCTCGAGCACATGTGAGTGCTGTCGAGCACTGTGCCGACCTATTACAATCTCCAGGATTTATTTTGCTTATTTTATTGCGAAATCGTTAACTAATTCCTCTCCCAAATAGCCCCCTTTATCTGCCAACATGTATTTATTATTAAGCAAAAATCCGGGATTTGTAATTTGATAAAATGTAAGGTAGTCCGTTAGAGGGTGGATGACCAAATATATGGTTTGAAGTTTGAATATATCATAGGTTGCTCACTTACATTGAGTTTGAATTCCGACGGAACACTCACTTTTTACTTACTCGGACCTAGTTTACAATTTTCAAACTTCTGAATTTAACCTGAATGAGGCTACATCTGGGAATTCGGCGTTTACTGGGTGGCAGGATTTAAATCGAATGATCGATTCGTTTCATCTTCACTTTTGATAAAAGTAGTATGTAGGAAATGAAACATTCTGTCATCTCATTCAAACCCCCCCCCTTCCACTAACTTTTGTAGAAAAACCTGATTTTTCTTAAACCCAGACATGGCCTTTGAATAACCTTCTCATTTTAAATTATCGACAATTTTTTAAATTTTCTCTGTCTGTTATTGGTGAGGAAGCACATAATATCAAGGTTTGCGTATTAGAGGATATTTGTCAGTATTTGTCTACTTCCTTCGCTTTTAAATACAATGTTTCATTTCATTAATATTAATTTCACACCTCATATTCATTAGGTTTTATTCACTGAAGATTTTAAATAAATTTTTTGGAGATATTTGTTGATCCATGTTTTGTGTATCTTAAACTAGATACAGAGATTCAGGGAGAACGTCCATTGACAATGTCAAATTACAGTATACTGTCATCAGGCGAAAGCTAATCTTAATCATGTCATCGTGTTTCAAAAAGAGTTTATTATTTAATTTTTTCTTCTCTGGGCCCTGGGCGGTATTGCCTAGAATCACGCTGTTATAGGATGTTGTTTTTTAAGATAATGCCATTATTGAAATTCAATTAAGTATTTTAATTAACCCCTCCTCTATTTGTGGTACAGCATTTTAGCTGATTGTATGAAATAAAACTGATGAACAGCATGTTTGTACTTACGTTTAATCTTAACTGAATTGTTCCCATCTGAATTTACTCCCACATTTCACGCGTTTTGTATCTTTCTATTCAGAGAAGATACCTTCTCAATGCGAGCAGAGTACGGCGAAAGGTTGGCAACAGCTCTTCTCATTATCTACGTTATTGGCAAAGTATTCGCTGACAACGGTGATGTAGGCATTTCCATAATTGCTCCTCCCTACGGTTCCCAGTTAGGCTTTTCAGCTCACACGGTAAGTCAATTTATGACCAATCAAATAGCCCTTATCACTATAGAAGCTTTTGGTTGACTCTCGAATATTGCACTTAAATCAATCAAAATGGAACTAGATGACATCTTCTGATTTTGATTTCCGCCAAAATAATGAAAGGAATCAACAATAGGAGAATTTGTGATAAGACTCCTGTTTAGAACCTGAGGATTAAAAAAAATACTTAGACAAACATTTAGTGATAATTAACTCTGATTCGGCCTTTTAATTAAATGTATTCATATTGAAAGTTTTAATTTCGTGGTTGTGCTCTCTTAAAGTTGGTTATTAATTAAAAAGTTGTGATAATGCGTACGCTGATAAGGGAGATAATTTCCATGTCAGAGTTCAGATATTTCATCCTGTGTCTGGACTACCTATTGAAAATTTAAAGCAAAAATAAACGAGACTTGGCATCACCACAAAGCATCCAGTCAATGTGGAAAAGAGAAAATTTCGTTAAGATCGCGATTTTTTTGCACAACCGTGGTATTTATTAATTTGTTTACATTCTGACTTGTGTATTTTTGGTCCTTAGGATGTGTGTCATCGGGAATAAAGTTTCTACATGCATTCGCAGTTGTCCTCTTGGCATTTCATAGTTTGTTATTGTGAGATGTGTGGTTGTAAGAAGTTGACATTCTACCGCCTCCCCACCCCCAACCTCCAGTCTATATGAGTTCGGTTGGTCGTCCACACCAATAGATGTGCATTAACGGATCGATCTGTATTTACATTTATCTTGTCTTATAATCGATTTTAAGCTGTTCACCGAATGACTAGTCGTAAGGTCAAGTACTGTCGTGAGAGGGGATTGGCAAGGCCTAGTTTCTCGCCAAAGGGGCTCCATAATACACCACTTCTGCTCAAGTTAATAAGCCGAAATCAAACTGTTTTATTTGCCATTTTAGTTAATTAATATTTCGTCGTTATTTTCATGGGGTCTATTTGAAAAGTAGCCTCAATTCCCCATAATTGAAGTATTGTTTCTGCCAATATAATTAAATAAATATGATACTCTTATTAAAAGAAAGCCTTTATTTGCATTTGTGCTGCAATCACATTCTGACGTGTGAAGAAGAAAAATGCAGACTTCTTTTTTTTCTAAATTAATGGGCCAGTTTCTCTCCCCCCCCCCACCCCACCCTCCGCCAAAAATATAATTGCTAATTCTTATTTTGGTTAAAATGCGTCAAACCTCTTGTTACGGAACGCTTTGAAGCCCCTTTAAGGTGGAATATGGCTAGATTTAACGATGGTTTTTATGATATGGTTATGCCAAATCGATTTCCCATTATGATTTTGTTATAAGAAGGACTCTAATTTGTAAATCGCTAACAATGGGCGCTAGAAAACTTGATTTACTGCAATACACAACAAATAGGAGTAATGTAACGTAGTAAATCACTATATAGGCCTTGCAGACTGATTGAGTAGTCTTGTCTTGAACGACGTAAAGTGGGTTGGAAATGGGATTGAATTAAGCATCACGTATACTTTACTCCCAAGATCACTCGAGTACCTGCTTTGTTTCACGCCTTCTAGTGGACCATCTGCTCTACTTTAAGATGATGCGATATAGTCACCTGTTTTTGTCTCAAATTATTTCTCAAACATTGCTGAATTCACTACGCCCATTTACAAAGCACAATGAGCAGCTTCTGGTTTTATTTGCACTTAGTGACAATATTAATAATAAGCACCAGCTAATTGCACTGTCACACTTCGACCTCAGCATGCACTTCATTATCCAGTCATATATATCGACTTGAACGCTTCTTGATGTGCGCTCTTTTTTCTGAAATGCAAGAATGAGAGAGTGGGCTTTTGAAATACGTGACAATGAAGCTTCAGGCTTAATGCAATTTCTTCGACGTAAAGTCCAGCACCCAGACCTTTCCCCGTAATATCCTCAAATGTCTCTCTCCTATATGTCAGTAAAATCGGAGACCTAGTATTATTTTCTGCGCATTGGAGGTTGAAGGAACTACTCTTTACTTACTACACCAAAGTAACTAGTTTTACTCAATTTCTAGGTGGAATTTTCATCGGTGTTAGTATTTTCGGTTTCTGTACCCAGTTTTTCGTAGTGATTAACCGATTGTTATATATTATGGTAAGATTCGTGCAAGCTATAATAGAATGTGTACATAAGATCAAATAACAAAGTTCAGTATATATCTGCACAAACTTCAAAGTCAAGTATAAGAGGGACTTGTGAAATATTTCAATGCCTCTTGCCACAGAATCAATGTGATGTCTTCATCTCACTTTGAACGCACAATAAACGGTCTTGAACGCTATTTGCAACTTATGACAGAGTTAAACTAGGTTCTATGATTACTCCCAATTGCCACTTAAATGCTACAAATGTTTGTGAATGCTTGCGATCAAGTTTGATTTAAATTCGCCGATAGTGTTCTTTCCGCCTACCAAATCACAAACCATTAATTCAGTGTATACAGCGGGATGAGGTTTCTCCAGTAATCTATCTTATGTTTTTCCAAAGTAACCTTTAGGTCTAATTAGTTATGAAGGAAAATAGTCAAATTTGGGGAGTCCTCACGTTTGCCTCCATTCGGTACTCTTCCTATTTAATCAAAAACGAATTGTGCTGTTATTCTCATCGCTAATAATTTATTAAATTATGATAGGCTTTTTTGAGAGAAGGTAGGTATGACAAGCATTTTGAATAAGAAGCAGAGAATTGGAGATGTTTGGGTTTCTATAACCCGGAAATAGTCTGTTTAAGCTATTGTTTTTTCTCTACTCTCAATGAGGCAAAGATGGGGAGAGAGGAGGGCATAATTGTTGGCGTGCCAGTTTAACTAGAATGAAACAAGATTGAGAGGAGGAGGAGGAGGTTGAAGAAGAAGAAGAATGAGGTAAGTAGGTGGGTTAGGTGTGGCTTAGAGAAGGAGAGTGGCAAGCAATCGGAAATAGATGGCCCATGTAGTGGACTACCCTGGATGATCAACTTACTTTTGAGCTTAGAACTCCTAAATGGGGTTCCCTTGCCTTAAGCCAAACTATGGTTCATAAGGGATTATAGAACTCAATGGAGTGCGGATTCTCCTAGTGCACAATTCATTTTGCATCACAGCTCAACATAGTTGAAAAAAGTGTTAATAGCACACATCTCGGGTATTCTTGGGCAAGTCTATTGAGAAATTTGCATTCTGCATCCACCTATTCACCGCTCCTAGGTAGCGCAGTTGACCGCCTTTGATTTTTCCCCCGTGTTCAGTGAACATGCCACAATCTATACAACTTTTACATCCCTTATTTTTTTTCTCTCTCTTCCCATTGTAGACAAATTTGGCAATAGCGATAGCCGGAGCTGTGGACCTCTTCTCTCGTCTCTTTTTTGGTTGGTTAACTGACCGACCGTTCTGCAAAGGACGTAGAGGAAATTTTTTGGCGTGTACTTGGCTGGTGGAAGCCACTGCCGCGCTCGCTTTTGGAGAAATTGCTGGAGTCGGGTGGGAGCTAAAGCCGATCTCTATGAACCAGAAGGTGAGTAGGTGTACCTATTCCATATGGTTATAACCATTGACTGTCTTCAGTTGCTTACACAAAATTTCAAGTATCTTGAGGTTATTGGAGGGAAGCTGTACAATTTACTTAGCGGATATAGTATCCGAACTGGGTTTGCCATCATGAATGCGTTTATTCAATAGTTTCGAGTAGGGAGGGCGGAAATGTGGAAATGATTTTTCCAGATGGATCAAATTTTGTGCACTGAATCTGCCCTCTGGAAATATCAATTTCAAATTTTGTTCAAAGAAAGTTGCGGGTCATTTAAACAAACTTGCATTTTTTGTGAAATATTCGTTTCCTTTTTTTGGGGAGGGGGGGGGGGGGGGGGGGGGGGGAGGATGCAACTTCCTGTGGCAAAGCGGTTTCAAGTAATCACATTTATTAATTTCATTACAAGAGGTGGAATTGGTTATATGTCTACTGTCGCGGTGGATATGCATTTATTTTGCGGATCTCTTATTTCATTTCTTTGCTAAAAGCGTTTACTGTGGTGAAATTGTCTTCAAATATTTATTGTATCAAGAGGCCGATAAATTTATTTAGGTCGTCTATAAGTCGGTCTTACCGATGCGAATGACATAATACGTTAGCATGGATCAAATTATCGGATTAATCGAGACTAAATTATCACTAATCCCATATAAAGGCCGCTTTAAGAATTTCACTGAATTAAATTGGTATTGATTGTCGGCATTGAGCATGGAGGAGGGGGGGGGGAGGGGGTTTGGGGGCGGTAATCCTTCTTTTGGAGGTGACTATGTGGATTTTAATATGAGTAGACAGTGTGCATGAGTGAGTCAACGCATGCACTTCAAGGTTATTTGGCTAGGAAAGTGCGATTCAACCAATGATGGGAAAAGGGGAAATGTTAACAACTACACGGGACTTTCTTATTGGACAATTCAAATCAGTTCGAACATGTTCACGTGAATGAAACTAACTTCTAAAATACTTAATGTCACTTTTTATTTATCACTAGGATGACTGAGTTACTTTGTCTTTTTTACATAACAAATAGTCAGTTCAACCTTTAAATACACACAGTATTTTAACTTTGAACAGTTGCGAATATTTTTTATCAAATTAAAGGAATACAGCGCTTATAATTATCATCAATTTGCCCAGTGCTTGGAGTTAAATCTACCTATTATTTCTAACCACTTAATACCCAAGCAGGTGTATGTGATGGGATAAAGTGTTGTTTGAACTTAACCGAATTCAAATCTAGTTGTCAATACGGATTTGAAATAAGTTGGCATAGGCTCTAGTAATTACGCTTAAAATTAGCACAATTTGCTGCAATCTGGTTCTAAGATTACCATTTTAATTGAATTTGCGGCTGTCGTAATTGCTTAATGTTTAACGTGTCGTGTAAAATATCACCTAAAATTGAACAGTTCGAAATTTCGAGTGCTTTGACCTACTGTCTGGCTCAAAACCAACGTTTTAATTGAATTAGTGCCAATTATCTATTGGATATATTTTTGTGCGAATGTAGAATACATTATAGGTGTCGGATGTACTGCCACTTCTTTTAATTTTTAAAAATTTCGTTCTTTAATTTTGAGGTTTCCTTTCGTTTATTACTCAGCTCATATGCTTTGAATTTTTAATTCATTCGCTTCATTTAGCTCTGAAAATCTCCCCCTGAATAGTATTGTTAGTGGGAAAGTATATTTTTTATCATTTCTCAAAATTGGGTGACAATGCTGTGGATATAAGCGCTATCAGCTCTTTTTTAAAACTTGGCAGACTTAATTGACAGATCTTATCCCCTTCGATGGTGACTAACTTGCTATTGGCCAAAATTTTGCTCAAATTATCTTCAATTTGAGGCAATTAGCTCAGTGCTATGGTGGCGTGATTCACACCAACATTGAGGCAGGCTCTTCAATCCGGGTCAAAATGTCATCAACTATTGTATCCAATAACTGAAATTCCTCAATTAAGGAGAAATAAGATGAACAGAGAGCTCTCCTTACCTAAAATTTTCATCTGTCTCATATTTACCCTGCTAAAGCTTATTTGTCTTCACAATCATTGAAATAGAAATTATGAAACTATTGAAGTGGCAAAACAGACACCCCTTGTGGTTAAATACTATCGGGTATATAAGCACTGAGTAGCGCACCGACTCAGACTTGGTGCATTGAAGAAGACGAATTGCAAAATTTTTCATTTTTTTGACTAACCTTCGCAACTCTTGTCCAACAAAAAACTCAAATGAAATCTGACACATTGATGTCTCTCTCTCTCCCTCCCTGCAAACTTTCGATCTCATTGTTCCTTATCACTGGCCTGAACTTAGTGCTATTTGATGTCGCCTACTTCTCGCAAGGCAGTGTACTTTTTTGTTTTACTGCAAGTAATAGTAATAAAATGGCAAGCTGGAAACTGGTCTTGTCACTTTTTGCGCACTGTAAAAGTTAACGTATCGAATGTGTCAAATAATTTCAACAACAATTAAATGTTTTGACACAATGTTGCTATGACATCAAGCAAAGTTGTTTGTGAAATACCCAGTCATATTTTCAACCAAAGAAGGCAAAATATTTTAAATGGAATGTTTTTATAATTTCAAAAATATTGCTACAATATTTCTACAATAATAGATATTTAGTATTTCATATTATATTAGAATTCGTATCTGCAATATATCTTCGTTCATCGGTTATACTTCGGTCATTATCTTTCCTGAAGTCTGTTATATTTTAATTCACTGCTTCTCATCATTTATTTATTTATAACAAATGGCAGGCGTTTTGATAGTTATCATTAGACATTTAGCTGACTTCGGGCTTCACAGAGGGAAGGTTCATCAAAGTAGCAGAAAGTCGAGGGGTGGGGAACAGAAGAGTGATTCACAGATGTAAAAGATTCAGACAGACATAAAGGTAGGGAAAAGGGTAAGATGAGTACTGTGAAAAAGAGGAATATGACATACAGTGAGGTGATGGTAGTTTGAAGTGAGAAGTCAACTGTCAGTTAGTACACTTTTTTGCCGTTTGATTATACGTTGCTCAGGCTGTACCACGAGGAGGTAAGTCTATCCCACACCCCCTACTTCTCATCATAAAGCTAAGTAATTTTGCCACTTGTAATCTCCCGCCAAGTGGGAATTGGGGCGAGAGGGAGGGGGGGGGGGGGGGGTGAGGGGACATCAGAGATTTCGAAGAGCACCATTTTATCTAAACTTCAGAACTGTCAATCAATTTGCTTTTTAATCGTATTTAGTTTCGTTCGATTCATATTCACAAGTTTCTTCTAAGTAGAGAATTTTTAAATCTCTGCAGTGTTGCACTTTCACGCTTCTTTATCAATTAAATATTTTAATTTTTTCTCTAGTTCGAACCTCTCTCTTCCTCTCCTCTACCCCCCCCCCCCCCCCCCCCCCCCACCCCACCCCTTTTCTATTTTCTCCTGCTTTTCTTCTGCCAGATTGCGATAATTACCCATTCTATTTCTCTTTCCATATGAAGTGTCATTTGGTAGAGGCCAGAGTCCTCTTGTCCACATAATAACTTGTAATCTGATTTGGAGTTGTGCATTTCGAGTCCATGGCTTAAAATGGACAGAATTAGAAATAATTCCATGCCATCGTAATATTTCATATCGCGTTTCATTCCTATGCGCCGTGAAGAAAATAGCAATAAAAATCAATTTAAATTGACTATCAGATTAGACACCATAAATCTATGATACCACTTTTATTTTATTTACGCGTCTACGATCCTCTCCACTTTCGTGTTCCCTCCTGTCAGCCTTTGGCCGCTGAAATGCAAAAGTTCTAAATTGAATATTTCGTAGGAAAAATATAAACCTTGCGTGGATATATTTTGCCCTTAAATTTTATCCAGATTGATGTCAATCACTAAAAGTGTTATGGACAAGTCTGCAACTATAACAAAAAGTCGTTGTAATGTATTGAGTCTGTGTTCCTTAGTTCTCTCAATTGGTTGAAGGCAGCTCTCTAGTGCGTAGAAATGTCATCACCCTCACAGACATTGAAGTAATTGAACTATCGTATTGGGTTTGACAATTTTCTGTTTGCTTGATTTGAATACCCTACGTACGCCAACTTGTCGCGAAATGTGTGCGTCGTGCATTCAGAAATTAATTTTTTAGAAATTTGGGATGTCCTGAATGATGATTTCGCTGAGTTTGTATCCAACTTGACCAATGTACAAACACACAATTTCGTAACATATTTCCGTAAGCACAAATTCCTTGAACGAACATTGGCAGCGTTTCAAAGTTCATCTAATTTACAAAATTTCAATCGGTGTTCCAACTCTCTTTGCCGTGTGGTAAACATACGAGGAAAACACGTCATGTTAGCAAATGAGTGCGTTCGTACTTGCCTAAGTATACGCACTCTCTATTGTCCATCTCATTGAACGAGGCCTTGATGACAATATTTGTTCAACCTTAGTTAACGTAGGTGGGTGGGCTAAGTAAACTTGCCGCACCCCAATAGGCAATATCGATTTGATATATTATACCGGGGTTCTCCGAAAATCCGCCCAGGGCAGTTAACTGGCAAATTCCATTTCATGAGACAATTTTTTGTAGCCGAATAACTGCCCTCCCCAATAAGCGCCCATGGTTGCAGTCAGGTTTCGATCCCCAAGTGGAGAAGAGCTAATACGATTGTATTGTAACTTTGTTTATATAAAATGGCAGGCGTCCTGATGGTTATCATTAGCCCTTTAGTTGGCTTCAGGCTTCACAGAGTGGAAAGAACATCGAATTGAAAAAAGTCGAGAGGGGGAACAGAAGAGTGTTTCAAAGATGTAAAAGACAAACACAAATGTAGAACAAAGGTGAGGTGAGTACTGTGAAATAGTCCAATATGGCATAGAGTGAGGTGGTGGTAGTTTGAAGTGAGAAGTCAACTGCCGATCAATAGAATTTTTTTGCCGTATGAATATAAGTTGCTTAGGATGCACCACGTGGAGGTAAGTCTATCGCACACCCTTATTGTAACTTTTAACCTCAAATTACTGCCTACTGATTATTATCCAGATGGGCGAGCTTTCGGTAAGATTAATTGTGAGGTTAATGAGAAGAGATCGGTCTTACTCTAATGTCGTTTAGTGTACTTTTTGGTCTTTTTTACCTAAATTAGTCACTCTAGTCATGCTCATTAGGGGCTTATTTGATGAAGGCGAATTTCACCTGTCTAAAAACTGTCAAAATATACTGGGCGCCCCAACACCAATTTGGACTTATATCTGCGGGTTTGATAGCCTTTGTTTGCCCAAATGCCAGAGGGGTTGTGCAGTGCTCTCAAATAACCTTTGTGTATGTATCAGGGCGCCTCTGACATTTGATGGTCCCTTGGCCCAGAAACAAGTTTTAAAGTTAGGTGTCCCTCATGTCTGCGTAGTCAACCTTCTGTATTAAGACAAAACCATTTTGTCATTTAATATTTATCTATATAAAATGACAGACTTTGTGATAGTTATCATTAGCCCCTTAGTTGACTTCGTACGTCGCAGAGGGTAGAAACAACATAATAGCAAAAGTCTAGAGGGGGGGGGGAGGGGGGAGGGAGGGAACAGAAAAGTGATTTACATATGTAAAAGAGAGGCTGACTCAGAAGTAGAGGGTAAAAGGTAAGGTGAGTATTGGAGAGTGGTTGAATTTGACATGCAGTGGGGTCATGGTTATTTGAAGTCAGAAGTCATCTGCCAGTCAATAGACTTTTTGCCGCATGAGTATACGTTGCCCAGGATGCACCACGTGGAGGTAAGTCTATCGCACACCCTAGCCATTTAATATAAATTTATTATTTTTATTCAATGCTTGAAGACAAACAACTTTGTCCCTAATCAGATAGTTATGCGAGATTATAAGCTCGAATCTGCGATCTTTCAGTGGCTAATCTAATCTCTCCTACCTGTTTGTGCCATTATCACACGGTATACACGATCGAAATTTCATTTTATTCGCTAGGTTTAATTTTCTTATAAAAACCTATCATCACATTCTTTTCTGTCAAGTAAAATTGGATACAACCAAGGTCAGGTTGTTTATAATTACCCGGAAGTGACTTTTCTTGACTAATCTACTTATTGCCTATAAGTATCAATTATTTTACTTAACAACCATGCCTTAACAAGATTACCAAGTCAGTGCGTTTGATTTTGTCTTCATTGAAGGGGGTACGCAACAAAGAGAGCCTTAAGATGTCCTTATGGTATCCTTCCTCAATTTCAAATGACTTTTTGTGGTCACTTTGCCACTCGAATGTGATGATGATATATTTATTAGAGGTTTTTATTAGGGATATAATTTCATAATTCACTTTCTCCAAACGCCTTGTTTGCTAAATTTTTTTTTTTTTTTTTGGGGGGGGGGGGTGGTACTCAATTCCATTTCCAAAGAAAGGTATCTAAATAGCCATTTGTCGAATACTTCTCGCTCCTTCAGGGGATCGGAAAACTGTGATTACTTAAGTCGGTTGCTATGGCAATCTTTTCCACCAATTGGTGTGGAGAATATGACTTAACACCAATCTTAATGTTTTTCCTAGTAATTAGCGTGTTAGCTGTGAATAATTGATTTTGTCCATTTTGTGATATGTTTACATTAATATGGGCGCAAATCAAACTTCCCGTAATTATCACCCAATGCTAAAATATGGTTCATAACTCCGAATCTCTGCCTATTTCTGGGACATATGTCATCTCCTATGTATTGATTGCCTTTGTGTCTGTCTGTCTCTTATATATGTGAACCACTCTTCTGTCCCCCTCTCGAATTTTTCTCACTTTGATGTTCCTCCCTCAGTGAAGTCCGAAGTCAACTAAAGGGCTAATGATAACTATTCAAAACGACTGCCATTTGAAATAATAATAATAATAATATCATTAGATGGCCTGCTTATCAGAATTCCTGCCAAAATTTCGCCTGATTCGATAAATGAATGCAGGGGTGTTTTTGCAGACATCTCGGCGAAAGCTATATATATATATATATGTTATTCGGATTTCACCATTTGGGTTTTAGTTTCGTAATATTACAAAATTCGAGCATAACTTGGGCAGTAAAACCTGGGTGTTTTTCGTACCTTGGCAAGATTTATTTATTTACATCAAATGACAGGCGTTTTGATAGTCATCATTAGCCTTTTAGTTGACATCAAAGGGGGATAAGTTGAGAGGAGGGGGAGGGGGAGAGGTAACAGAAAAGTGTTTCAAAAAGGCAGAAAAAAGGTGAGGTGAGTACTGTGAAAGTAGTCGAATATGACATACAGTGGGATGATGGTAGTCTGAAGTGCGAAGTCAACTGCCGGTTAATAGACTTTTTTTGCCGTATGAGTATACGTTGCCCAGGGTGCACCACGTGGAGGTAATTCTATCGCACACTCCACTTTGCCAACATATGACTATGCTATCTTTGTAGGGAAAAAAGTAAAAGAATTTTGATTATAAACTGCTGGAGTTGATTTAGTACTTATGGTTTGCTAATTATTACTTTATTCTATGCAACATGGTAAAAATATCTTTGTTTAGGGCACCATATTGTCGATGTAGATGTAAGCAATCATACGGCTTGGACAAGGTAGTTTAAGGTCATCACTGAAGGCATCGATGTGGGTAGGAAACAGTATAATTGCAAAAATTCACTTTTACGGGCTTTATTTTGAAGGTGCTTTGATGATAATTAGTGTTTACTCCTCCCTTGAATGTGAGCTTTGTTTCCAACGTTACAAGCTTGCAAGCATTGTTTGTCCTTTTCAGAGACGACTAGCCGGCCCTCCAACCAATTTTCAAATGGCAGCCTATTTTACTTGCTTTGCCCTTCAAGGAGTTTGCAGTGGTACCGCCATGACTCAGATGATTATTGTACTCTCAGACTGGGTTGGCCCTGAACGAATGGCTAAATCCCTAGCTATTATGATGGTTAACCTCGGTCTTCTCTACGTGCCTGCTCAAGCTATTCTCGGTTAGTGAGCTTCAATTTATGTAATATCAGTGGATTAGTCCACTTTAAGCCCGTCTGTTAGTGACTTAATACGTATTTTAATTTCAGGCTACCTCAGTGATATCTTAGGTTCATATGTGTGGTCAATGAGACTATGCAGTCTTTGGCTGCTTATCGGTGGTCTAGTCTTCCTTCTAGAAGCTCCTATTCGTCGATTTGTGCGTACGCGGCACACTATCCACCTAAATCGCCGTAAATTCGCTGCACGAAGTAGCCCAACCGACGAAAGCTCTTTTCAACGCATTCGGTCGCCATGGTGTCAGCATACCGAAGACAGCGTTGTCATAGAAGAGGGACCGGTAACACCTCCATCGCATCCCTTAATGGCAGAGGCGGGGCTTTCTGACTCTACTATCCCCTTTATCGGCTCACAATCAGGGGACGATATCTCCCCATCTCGTGTCTAATTCCACCTTCCTCAAGGCTTCCGTTTTGTACAACGATCATGATTTGCAATCAATTTACTACTTAAATAATTTAAGTAGATGTATTAATAAACACGGCATTTCGCCTGACTGTGATTGATGCCCTTTGTTTCTCCACTTATCTTTTCTGTTATTAACCAATCAGTAGTGAATTGATTGGGATTTGTGTACAATCTACATATTCTATACCTGGTTTGTTCCCCATGCTGCCTTCCCCACAATACTTGACAATTCCATCTATTTTAATAAACGATTTTTTTGATTTGGATCAACTGGGCTGTTTCGAGAGAGTTCTTAATGGCCGGTGTTTTAATTGCAGTGTACGCTTTGAATCCATTTTATAATCAGCATCTTAAAAACTAAGGATTTTCTATGGGTATTTAGTCAAATTATGAGGGTAAACATAAAAGACGGCTTGACTATTTTAAATAGCACTACTCAGGTGGTAAGATTGGGTGCATGAGTCATTATAGGAATAATCACGAAGTAGAATATACTATCATTTTATCATAACTTAATTATAGGCAAACATATTTTATCCCAGGTGTGCTAAAGCTTTATTAAACAAACTCCCAGATTGGAGGTCATGATCGGTTCTGCCCAATATGTGTGAACTGCCTCTTCATTACATTAAAACTTAAGCCAACACTGAGTCTGCTCAGGATGGTTTGTAGATATTCATGTCTTTCTACTGGCAGCTTAATTCTTTGGAAAATTAAAGTGTCTGGCCCACTACACCATACGTTTTCTGTCAGTATTCAAAAGCCACAAATGTCTGAGTTAGCAATTCAAAAAGTGAAATTCATAAATGTCTGCAATAATATAATTCTGATTTTATTTCTATTTTGCTACATTTGTGTCTGTCTCTGTTACAACTGTAAACCATGTCTGTCTCTTCACATCTGTAAATCACTCTTTTGTTCTCCACCCCTCGACTTTCTGTTACTTTGATGTTCCTTCCCCCTTTGAAACCTCGACTTTCTTCTACTTTGATGTTCCTTCCCCCTGTGAAGCCCGAAGTCAGCTTACTTTGATGTTCCTTCCTCTCGACTTTTTCTCACTTTGATGTTCCTTCCCCTGTGAAGCCCGAAGTCAGCTAAAGGGCCAATGATAACTATCAAAACGCCTGCCATTTGAAATGAATGAATTTTATTGTGCTGAGGGGCGGGATAGACTTATCTCCACGTGGTGCTCCACGGGCAAAGTGTACTCAAACGGCAAAAAATCCCATAATTTGGTAGTTGACTTTTGACTTTAATCTACCATGACCCCACTGTATGTCATATTCCACCACTTAACAGTACTCACTTAACCATACCTTTCCTCTACCTTTGGGTCTGTCTCCTTGGCATCCGTAGATCGTTCTTCAGTTTCCCCTCCCTTCTCGACCTCTTTGATGTTCCCCTCATTCTGAAGTTCGAAGTCACCTATCATAAAGCCTTCCATTTGATATAAATAAATATTATTAAGAACAAATGCATTTTAAGAAAGTGAATAAGTACTAACTACTTGAAGTTATTTGTGCAATCAATGCTACATTTGTAGTGATTGTAATTTCAAGTTAATCGGCCTAGCGATTGAATCTTTTCATTGCAATTTAAGTGAAGCAAATAAAAAGCTCCATATTCAGGGGATATTTTAAAACCAAGGTAATTGAATCATTCTCAGAATATCCGTCAGCACCTAATTTTAACAAGAATTGACTTCCACCAATACATAAAATAATATTTTATTTAAAAAATATGATTTAGACATGATCCATTTGATATTAACTAATACCAACCTAAGGTTTCTGTTTTATAACAGTTCTATAAAGTATTTAAAATTTAGCATTCTTTGCTGTCTAACGGCGGAAAAATCTCCTATTCAGTAAGTAATATCATTGCTATTAGGACACTTGATAGTAAATTTAAAATTAACAATTGATTATGAAAATTTTACGAGCATTTTTGCATGTAATTGCTTAAAGCTTCCGTTTGTACAAATTATTTCATATATACGCATAGAACAACATCTTAATGGTACTTGATCTAATGTACGCAATTTGGGGTTTGCGATAGACTTACCTCCACCTGGTACACCCTGGGCAACGTATACTCATACGGCAAAAAAGTTTATTAACCGGCAGTTGACTTCTGACCCCACTGTATGTCATATTTCACCACTTCTACTGTACTCACCTCACCTTTTTTCTACCTTTGTCTTTGGAAAAAACACTCTTCCGTTCCTCTCCCCCTCCCTCTCGACCTTTTTTCACTTTGATGTTTCTTCCCATCTGTGAAGCCTGAAGTCAACTAAAGGGCTAATGATAACCATCAAAACGCCTGCCATTTGTTATAATTAAATATGTACGCAATTTAATTAGAGCGTGAGGTCTAAATAAATTTCCAAT